GGGGGGGGGGGCTTACACCTGCGGCTGCGAAGTCGCAGCGCCGCTGCGGCAAGCGCGGCACTTCTTGCCGTGCGGCAGTGCCGAGGTAATTGGGGTAATCGGATTGGAGCGATGGGGCCTAAGTGACGCGAATCGCGTTGGCTCATCAGGGAGGGAGGGAGGCGCCGCCACGCCTAATCCAGTGCTTCCCCGCCCGAGTGTGCGTGTGTATGTGTAAGTGTGTGTGTTGGGGAAGGTTATGGTCAGCGCTGCGCTGCCGGCCAGACCAAGACCAGACCAACTCGCTCCCAGGCTAGGCCAGTGCCGGCCAGTGCCCCCTCCCCTTCCCTCCAGCCGGGCGGCGGCGCGGATGAAAGTGGCACCCCGCCTCGCCTCGCCACGCCACCGCGTATCAGCTCGACCAGTCGGGTCCACTTAGGGCGGCCGTCACACCCTGAGAGGGCGGCTAAACGGCTTGATGGTGTCTTTCTGAGTGGAAGTATTGAGCCGCCCAGCAGCAGGGGTCCCGACCGGAGGCCTACACACACTCTGGGGCGGCAGGGAGGGGGACGGTCATGTGGTTGGTCTCGGAGGCGCACGACCAGAGCGCGTGTCCTCGGCGGCGTCCCTGGGCGCAGCTGAGGGACGCCCTATGGCGCCCCGCTCTAGGCGCCGGCGGTGGCGGCGGCGTCTTCCAGGAAGGGACTAGAAGGAGCCGAACGGATGCGGCGGCGGCGGCTGCGGCCGGTTCATGGCTGGTTTTGTTGGCGACCCTCACATTGTCGTCTGCGCTGCACCCGCCGCCTCTTTTTGCCCCGCCGACGATGCAAATCGCAACGATATGATCGATATAATAGAATCAGTGCGGCAACAATCAGGGGATGCGCTGCTCCAACTAATTCCCGGGAAATAAGCGAGCGACAATAATGTTTCGTACATCATTTTGTCGTATTGTTGCTCCCCCCCCCCCAAATGATCGCACGCGGCGGCCTACGTAATCCCACAGGCAGCCAGCAGCAGGAAGGCTATCGCATCGAGATATCGATATCTCGCGATCTCTCGATGACAGGCGGCGTGACATCGCGGCGGGGCGTATCCCCGTGAGAGAACGAAGAGAGAGAGAGAGAGAGAGAGAGAGAGAGAGAGAGAGAGAGAGAGAGAGAGAGGCGGTGGGGGATGACACAGCTCCTGCAGCAGCAGCAGCAGCAAGGCGGCCTCGATTGAGGCTGATAGCATCTCCACAATGCAGGTGAGCTTACGGCCTGTTCGGCCCTTAACTCAGCTCCTCCTGCTGCTGGCGTCCTGTTGGGGTAGGTCCTGCTGCTGCTGCGGCGAGGCGACAGAGACCGGACGGGAAACAAGGAAATAAACAAAACCATGGCGCGAGGTTCATTTTTGAGCAGGGTAGCT